GTCTTTGTCAACTGATTCTCACAATACCAGGAGCAAGGTTCTAAACTACCCTTACTTTTATGAATGAAGAAAACAGGTGTGGCAGTTACCACTCATCCTGTAAACAAAAGAGGGGGCTGAAACTCTAACTCCTGATTCAAAATGCAGTGTTTCAGTCTCTGTAATCCAGACACTTCCTGGGTATGATAATTAAGTCAGTGAGGAGCCCCTCTGGGACACTCTAAGCCTCCCACCGTCACACTTCCCATTACTGTAAAAGCTCCCGTGGTTCTTGCACTGTCTTATCTTGCAGGCAAGCAGAATGCACCCCCTCCCTATCGCCTTTTCCATCTGCTGACCACCCATCCCACCCCCACTGCTGGCAATTTCAAGTGGGAAGGCGCTCTTCAGTTAGCTCTGAAACGGACAAGATGCATCTCACACAGAAACTTATTATTTAATATTTTGTGGGTTTTTTTTTTTTTTTTTTTGGGGGGGGGGAAGGGTCTCGCTAAGTAGCCTTGGCTGGCCTTCTGAACTATGTGTATCAAGCTGGCCTTGAACCTATGGGAAGTCCACTTGCCTCTGCCTTTGAGTGTTGGGATTAAAGTCATGCACCCTCACACTCTGCTATCCTTTAACTTTTAATATTCATCATATTTTGCAGTGCTGAAGGTTGAACTTACGGCCTCAAACAGGCTAGGCAAGCACTCTACCACGAAGTTATACCTCCAGCCTTGAAGCATGATTGAGAACAATTTATATTCACATAGTAGTGTTCTAAAAAAGTGCATCCTCAACACCCTCAATTAAATTTGTATGTGTTAAATTTGCATGTATTGTTTTCCGGGCTTTATTAGAAAACCAACTTCATAACTCATCTTTCTTGAATACACCAGGTTAAGTAACTTTTATACTTAGAAACGCACCATAACTATATGAAATGCCAATTGTAAGTGAAATTTAGGCCAGAGTCCTTGCAGTGCAACCCCCCCCCCACACACACACACAGTTTGTCCTTCCCATGCCATAACCTACAACAATACAGTCATTAATGTCCCCTTCCTTTTGATTTCCTTCCTATCATGTTTCTCTTGCAGCTTTGGATGCTGATCAAGAGGAACCCACACCATCACAAAAAGACACAGGGACATCTATCTCAGCAGTGGTTTTAGAGTCAAGTACACCCACTCATTCCCAATGGTAAGCTAGGAAGCTCTCTACAAATGAAGGGTTTGTTTTAATGAGTTTAGCCTGCATATGTCAACCAGATAATGGATTGATCTCAACACTTGCAAAGGACGAGAGGAAGCCCACCAAGGGAAACTAAAACTGCAGCCCTGCTAAACATAAAAACTCACACGTTACTAAATTATAGAATTTGACATCAGCTCAATGCAAAAACCCTCCCTCCTTTCCTGCTGTCAATTTTCACCAATCTGAGCTCTGAAAAGAAAACAGGAGCCTATGAATGGGAACAGGCCAGAGCAAGGCACAGGCCGCAGCAATATGCCCAGATGCTGCCTTCATATTATTAAAGCAAGGAACGGACTGTTCAGTGATTATCTCTGGGGAGAGGGAGTCACAGCAGCTTTCCTGTTTTGTTATTTCGTGTACTTTAGTACAGGTTGAATTTTTAAAGAACATGCATTTCTATCATTGAAATAGGATTCCACCCAGCACTCTGGAGGCAGAGGCAGGTGAATTTCGAGGCCAGCCTGGTCTACAGAACTGAGTTCCCAGGACAGCCAGGGCTACACAGAGAAAAGAGAAACTCCAGCTCAAAAAAATAAATTAATTAACTAATTAAAAATAAAGGAAAGAAGGGTATTCCTTCCCACTTTAAGGAAGAATAGATAGAAATAAGTTAATTATGCTCACAGAAGAACATATGAAAGAACAGTAAAGCATTTCCACTATTTTATTACCAGAGATACTACAACAAGAAACCATCAAAAATACGATAGAGACCAAAGTGAACCTGAAGCAGATGTTTTACAGGTCCTCCCAAGACAAAAGACTGCAGCCTAAAAATATTATTTAGCATTTCTGTCATAAATGTCCCATCCCCTACCCCTCGCTTTAGGCAAAGATATAGTCTGTCCTGGCTTGAGGGGAACACTACCCCCACCCCCCAAAAAAGGGCAGCAATACTTTTTCTTGAAAGTTAAAAATTAAAAAATGGTGTTGCAAGGAACACTGGACACATTGAAAAGGGGCCTCACTGTACCATAAACTGACAAACGTGGAGAGTGAGGAAGCAGAAGGCACAAAACTTCTGCAGCTACCATGGAATCAAAATACAAGGTCATGAGCAGGCTTGGCAGCACAAACCTTTAATCCTAGCACGGTGGAGGCAGAGGTGGGTACACTTCTCCAAGTTCCAGGCCAGTTTGGTCTAGAGTTCTAGGTCAGTCAGGGCTACAAGATGAGACCCTGTTTCAGAAAACAAAACAAAACCCACAAAGTCACAGGTCAATACTGGTGAGATGCTGGAGCAGGATAGAAAGCTAAGGTCAGTCCTGGGCCAAACACCAAAGTCTAACTTAAAAAATCAAAACAAAATAAAAAACAGTCAACATGGTGCTGCATGCCCCTAATTCTAGCACTTAAGAGGCAGAGGCAGGCAGATCTCTGAGGCCAGCCTTGTCTACAGAGCACGCGCGCGTACACACATACACATACACATACACACACACACACACACACACACACACACACACACACACACACGGTCAAGAAGCTATGCTTATGCCCTAGTTAAAAATGGGTTTCTGACAATGATGTACCCACCACAAGCACTGGTTCAAAACAGAGTATTCCTGATGTAAGAAACTGGAGGAATTTAGTATCATGAAAACTGAGACTTTGGTTTGTTTGGTTTTTTCTAATTATGTGTTTATGTGGGGGAGGGGTGTGTGCACATGAGTTCCCTGGAACTGGAGTTACAGGCAGTTGTGAGCTGCCTGATAAGGGGGCTGGGAGCCAAATTCGGTTCCTCTGGAAGAAAACCAAGTGCCCTTACCCACTGAGCCACCTCTCCCGCTGCAAGTTTTGGGTTTTGTTTTGTTTTTTTTTTTTTTTTTGAAAAAAGGGTCTTGCCATGCAGGACAAGCCCAGGTTAGCCTCCAACTCCCAATCCAGCCTCTAAAGTGCTGGGATTATAGGCATGCACAACCACACCCTGTAAAACTTTGATGTCAATAGTGAAATCCTGTTGTTAAAATGGTTGTAAGACGCTATAACCAACACTGTACCGTAGAATTCCTACCTATTAACCTTTGGAAAGACATTTCACCTCTTCCCTGCTTTAGTTCCATCTATTTCTTTAAGAGGAAGAACCCTGCGTAGCTCCTAATGCCACTTAGTATTACTGAGACTTTAGGAGATAACAGCAAGTGATTCAAAAGGGAAGTTTACGGTTCTGGGCAACCAACCGGCCATCATTCAGGCTTCAGACTCCTGCACCTCCATCCAAATCACATCCATTGGAGGTGAAAAAGTTGGAGAATCTATTTTATACCTTTTCCAAACCAAGGTTGCTTTAATGTTATCATAAGAACTACATCGTTTCCCCAAATCTGCTTCAAGGTGCCTCGAACTTCGGCTCAAGAAGTTAACTCTAAGTGGTCTTAAGAACACAAAACCAGGCTTGGTGGCTCATGCCTTTCAACCCAGAATTTAGGATTCCCTAAGGTAGACGTCCAAGCGATCCTGGGCTTACCTTGCCAGACAGTGTCTCAAAAAAAAAAAAAATTAAAAAAAAATGCTTGGAACGCTTTGTGGATTCCAGTGTCAAAGGGAAAAATGTTGCCGCAGCGATACATACTGTACGGAGCTACATTCTGACCAGTGGAGAATCTACGTGTACCTTCACAGCGACAGTCGACTTAGAAACACAATCACACACATACAAATACTCTAGCCCCAGAAAACAAGGACTTTCAATAACCTGCTCCTGACGCGTCCGGAGTTGGAAAATGTCTTGTCAAGCCCTCCGATCACGTGGACGCGAGGCTCAGGTGGAGAGGCAGCCGGGGAGCGGCAGCTGAGCTCAGACCCACGCCGGCACGCTCCAGCCGCAAGGACTCCCGATCGCCACCCAACTCGCTCACCGCCTCTCCCAGAACTTCTACTTGTAAGCGCCCACCACTGGAGGCGAAAAGCACTTTCTTTTCGGGACTCGGGGGGTGAAAGGAAAAAAAAAAAATCTCGTCCACAGAAAAATCCCCAACCCCCCGAGACCTACCACTTTTGACCCGAACAAAAAGCGTGTGTGCTGACGAGAGGGGGTGGGAAAGAGAGAAGCAGGAATCCGCGCGGCCCAGCCGCCTCCTCCCTCGGAGCGCGCCCAAGTCTGCGGCCTCCGGCTCCGGGACGCTCCCCTCCCACCGACCGCCCGGCCGCAGCTGGAAGTTAGCGAAGCGCGCTCCGGGCCCGTCAATCAAGCGCGGCCTCCCGCCTCCACCTCCCCTCCCCCTCCCCACCCCAACATAAAATAAAAGGAAAAAGAAGTAATTTGGGAAGTCGTCTGGAGAGGGGATTCGTCCCGGACCCGGGGAGGCCGCGCGCACCGGACTGACCGCCGGCACCGAAGCAGGCGGGCCGGCTCAGC